TCAACATCCTCTTCAGGGATCCCCTGCACCTTCCTCAGCAACTGCGCGAGCCCTACGCTCTCCTTGGGCTCTTGCTTCTCCAACCTCGCTTGCTCGTTACATGCAGCTGCTGCCACTAGCCTGAGATGCTCTAGGGCTTCGATCCTGGCTGTAAAGCCCTCCAGCACGGCCACCAGAAGAGCACGTCTCGCGCTTTGAGCTTCCTCCTTCTCCGGATTGGTATCCTCCTCGGAGGGCGCCGCTGCCTGCACTCTTTTGACAAAATCCTCCAGAAGCAGGGTGGGGCTGTTTTTCTCGGAAGCTTCCAATACATTCTTGAGGTATTTTTCAGCGATCTCTTCTTGTGTAGAGGCAGAGGCGCTGCGCACAGCATCCAATGCACGGGCCAAACACGCCGCCACATCGTCGCCCCCAGGAATAGTGCCGGAAGCTGCAGCATAAGGGAAAACCACAGCAGAATCACTAGAATCATTTCCCATTGCTCAATCGACTGGATGCAGTGTTGCACTACCGGGAAATGCACTTGCAGAGGAGCTCGCTGCGTCTCCATTTACCTATTTCCGGCGGCGGACTTCCAAGGCCTTCTGGCTTTCCCATATATTCCCCAAGTGCCTTCTGAAGGCCCTCCTCAATCTCCTTCATCCTTTTTACTCTTCGCTCCCAGGTGTGTAAAGTATCTGACGCGGGAGCTGCTACGGTTTCGGGTGCTCGTCCAGATGCAGCCCGGCCCACAGCCATCCTCCCATCCCTTCCCAAAGCCGTGCGGCCCACACTAAGAGACGCACAAACGAAGAGCGCCAAGATGAGACATACTTTAAATGCAACGCTATAACGTCCTGACGATTGGGGTATCCCCCCAGGATGTGCCGCTGGCACGCTCAACTGCTGTTCCCCCTGGGCCTCGATCGTGGATAAACCACCTGTGCCTCCACCCCGTTCAACCACAGAAGGGCCATGATTCTGGGTCTCATCCAATGGCTTGGTTTCGCTCATAGGCATTAACCCCAGGCCCTCTGGCGCTTTCTTTCCCATCGAGGCGGGGGGTGCCGCGGATGGTCCACAGCTCCACAAACCTGGAGATGGAACTCGGTTTCCTAAGCTACCAGTGCGCCAAAATCAAAACCTAGAGAGTTTAGGCGCAAGAATCCAGGGTATAAACAATAGGCACCGAGTTCGGGGCGT